AGGGAACTGATTGCTCAACCCTTGCTTGAAAATAGAACATGTGCTTACATAGAATGGCTAGATAATAAATTAATCATGACTGCTAATAAGAACATAAATAATGACTCACTATTAGAATTGCTTTCTGCAAAAAGAAACCTAACAAACCATAAAGCTTATCATATTCCTTGGAGTCGAGAAATTATTCCCACTAGTCGGATAAGTCTTGCGAGTACATTGTGTACTTAGGGTTTATTTACCCTTGTTGCAGGTACTGCTTGAGGAGTAGCCGTTGTGTGAAGGATTCTTCTAGTGGGCACAGACAGATCCGTGTTCATTATCGATAGATGTTTATTTTCATTCCACTGTTTAATATTCCGCACTCTGAATTTGGTAATGTAATAATGCATTTCTAAGAATTCTGGATGTATGAAATGGACTAAGTATTGTAACTCGTCCTTATTATTGGATCCTTAGGGGGAAATATGGACTATTTGGGCTCTCCCTTGGGGTGTGCCCGACGGAACCCGCACGCTGTAGCTTGCTTTCGGGGTGCTTAGTGTCTGGTGCAAGACGAGCGCCTCCATAAGTGCGTTATTTTGGGCGATTCTGTCACACTAGTCTAGATACGTAGCAAAATGGATGAACAAAAAAAGTCAAATGGACTTATAATGATTAGATACGTAGCAAAATGGATGAAAAAAAGTCAAAGGGACTTATAATTTGGAACGGAGGGAGTAGATACTTATCAATTCTCATCAGGTTGTATCCCTCTTGATAGTACGACATACCTATAAACCCAATTTTAATTGGAAAAAATGAAATTCAAATCGCTTAAGCTTCCCGTCTTCACATACGCTATTTCTTTTCATTTCATGTTCACAAGAGTTGCAGTTAACTTGTCTTCATCACCTTGAGCAATGCCAATTTGAGAATGAAACTCAAGCCAATTTAACACATACGAATTCACGTTATGGTTTCAAGCCATTGCTTCATATGATTCAATAATGATTTGATTCTCCTCAAAATATGACTCCTCTCTTGAATTAACAATAGGCACACATTTGAAATCCATTTCATGAAACCCATCTTCACTTTCTTGATTTGACAAGCAATCTCTCTAGACGAGACCATCCCATAGTCTTGACCTTGTGTCTCATATCAACATTCATCAAATATGATTGCCTTCCTAGGATGCAAAGACATTCCACAACATATAAGCCTTTATAATAATTCCATTTGCATTGTTGTCTTCTACTTGAACTAGATTATTTCCATGAGCTTTCTTCTCAACAATACACAATCTGACTTGTCATTTATCACAATGTGAAATATTCCTCTTGTTTGCCATCTTGTTAAGCCTTTGATACATTCAATAAAGCATAACTCAAATGTGTATTTGATACGATCAAATTCTTGCTCAACACTTGCAAACTTGTAAGACCTTTGTTTACATTGTCATTCAATTTATTAAAATCTACTAAAGGGCTAGGTGTACTTACAGAAAGATGTACCACCAATCCCGAGGGCTACTACATTATATTCTTATATAGGAAGAAAAAATGTTGGAAGAAGAAGAAGAAGAAGAAGAATAAGACAATGTTCCAAGGGAAGATGACTTCTATAGTTATTATAAGCGATGCAAAGTTGGAGTGAGCAAGGACGGCTGAGAAAGTGCATCTAATTTTATTCTCCTCGCCCTCTTTATTCAATTCAGAAGAACCACCTAAGGCTTCCAAAATCATTACTGATTTTTGTGCTGGTGGTACTTGAATTCAAGTACAACCTATTTTACCTTAAATTAAACATATATATAGCAGATATTGTGCATTTCAAAAGAATAGGGATTCAAAGTGGCTATATTTGCATCCTACTTAAATGATTTGGCCTACCTAAAGATTCTAAAAAAAATATAGGAAAGTTCTTCCAAATTCACTAATTGTGCCGTACTAATTTAGCAAATTAATTGGAACATGTGTGCTGTGGTGAAATTCCAAGCTGCTTCACAAAGCAAGCACTCATGTTTAATGATCCTTTAATGTGAACTCAAATTCAAATGCATGCGAAAGATGGCCCAAAATTTCACGATACGAATTCAGATGCTCATGTATGCTCCATGACATGCTTAGGGTAGCTCCAACAATTGGCTTTTAAGCTAGCTCTAAGTCTTTTTCTCATATTTTAATACAAAAGAGAGAAAAGCTAACTCTTAATTAAGAGCCAAGCTCTTGAACATATTTCAAGGTGATGTAAGAATGTCAGGTGGAACTATCCATTTTAAAAGCTATGTACTAAAAATTAGCACTATTAAAGAAGTTAGCTTAGAGCCACTAACTAGCTCTAACAATTGCGGGTGTCCTTAGAATATCTGGGTCGTGACCGAAAGGGGCACTACATTATGGATGCAACTTTGTTCTTCCAGGGAAAGCCCAGCCCAGAACGGGCCTCCTTTTGAGTATCTAATCAAGTATACAAGTATCATCAACCTTTCTTTTTCACAAAGTGAATATTTCATCTTCGGAAAACTGGACCCTGCTCAAGGTGACAGGACATGTTTGGATAATCTTTTGCAATTTTGATTTGGAAACTTGTGAAGTCCCGGGCCTATGGCGCGTAGACGTGTACAGTAGTAACTATAATCCGCATTTGGAAACGCATTATTATTTCAGGGTCAGGGTGCCAGTGCAACATTCCAAACAAAAAGAAGTGTAATTATAGGGTATATAAAAAACGAGCATGGCCATTGGCCACTCATTTGTGTTTGGAGAAAATATCGCTCCAAAAGTATCTGTATGTGTGAGTATCATCAGCTACTCAAAGTGAATATTTCATCTTAGGAAAACTGGACCCTCCTCGAGGTAGAAGCAGTGACAGGACATGTTTGGATAATCGTTCGATTCGTTTGCTTATAAGCCGTACTTTTTGAGTCAATTAACATTATTTTTATCTCACAACAAATTAGTCAACAGTAATTTCAGCCATGGCTTATCAGCCAAGCGAACAGGATAAATGTTTTGCAATTTTAATTTGGAAACTTGTAAAGTCTGTAAGAGCATCTCCAAGAGATTAGCTAAATCGTTTTCTAAAGATAAATTTGACTATTATTAAAAGAAAAATGTCTCCAATAGTGTAAATGACTCTCCAAATTTAGTAGCTCTCCATCCCACCCCATTCGCTCTCTAATTTTAGATAGCCTACCTTACTAGCCATCCAACCTATTGGTTTCACAGAGTCTATTGGAGTACTCTAGTATATTTTTGTCAAATCTATTTTAAAGAGTAGCTCAATTGGTAAATTTGACTAGACTTTTTGCCTAATCTCTTAGAGATGCTAAAGACACTCACAATGCAAGAAACCATCAATAGTTTCTATAGTCTAAGATATTGTACCAAGAAACCATCCTTCTCAATGCAGCCTTTTTTTATCTAGAGTCCAAACAAAATTCCAACCAATCCTTCTTCTCCATTCTAATATAGGATTCTCTGTGCCTCCCGTAGAGAGAGCAGGCCAGGTGCCTCTGCGTCTTGTGAGCTGGGAGGGAGACGGACACCGTAAGCAGAGGAGACGCATGCGCAATCTTGCCTAGATGCGGAGGGAGACAGAGACCGTGCGCAGAGGAGACAGAGACGGAGACGAGATGGGCGAGCTCCGGCCGTGCGAGCGAGGCGGCCCTATCCGCGGCGGTCGCGCGAGCTCCGGCCGACGTCTGCGTGAGTCTGCGGCGGCCGCGCCGGGAGGCGGGCGCCGGACCTCCACGACGTTGAGCGGCCGCGCACGGCGTGGCAGGCGTGCAGCGGCCACAGCCGGAGCACCATGGCGTCAAGGCCACGGCCGGACCTCCACGGCGTTGAGCGGGCGCGCATGGGGAGGCAGGCGTGCAGCGGCCACAGCCGGAGCTCGAAGGCGTCCAGCGGTCGAGGCCGCAGGGTCGGGCGCGCGCGGGAAGGGAAGCTGCTAGCGATGGGGAGGAAGGCGCACAGGATCCGGCACGCACGATGGAAACTACAGCCGTCTTCTCCAACGCGGACGTGCGTGGTTCCGTCCGCATCGATGAAAGCGTAGACGTCGAGTCCTTGGTTTTTTGCGTTTTTTCTTTCTTTCCTCGATAAAAACAGTGCCACCTCAGCAAAATTTAATAAATAGAGGGATAATAAATTGTCATAGAAACTGTGATAAAATCTGTATTGGGAGTGCCCTAAGATAGGTAAGAGGTAAACAAACCCAATTTACTGGACCTATGGCACAGACGTGATTAGCATTTTATTATTTCAGGGTGCCCCTGCAACATTCCAAACTCAAAGAAGTTAGAAGTGTAATTATAGGTGTAAAAAACGAGTACGGCCATTGCCCACTCATTTGTGTTTGGAGAAAATATTGATAGTGGTGATCTCACCGGCTCGGTCTAACGGTCGAGTTGGGCCTTGATCTCACGTCTTGATCGGGGGGCGTCCAACCCTACATGGTCGGTGAGCCCCTGTCACACTGTGCTATATAGAGAGGTGGGGCCGACGGCTCTCTTCACGAGGTTGACCGAGCTACTGTTCCCACCGATAAAACCTTAACATCGATCTAAAAGGTGCGCAGCTAGTGACGGAGCTCACTAATCATATAAGATTGGGCGTCTTCCATTAAGACGCGAGATCCAGACCCAACACAACCGTTGGCCGAGCGGGTCAGATCACCACTAGCGAATATCGCTCCAAAATAAACTTTAGACAAACAGCACGTGAAGCGTGCTGCCTATTGTCGTTGAGGAGCCAAGCGGACCCACCCCACCCCACCAACTGCCTACCGCCCGGCGCGGCGGCGCCCGCAGGCCGCAGGCCGCCCGTGTCTCACACCCTTCAATAATTCACGATCACCAATCACATTCGCAAATCGCAATCACCGTCACGCGGCATCAATCCACTGGCACTACCACTATACTATAGTGAACTCAAGTCTCCTCCTCCCGATCGGAGCAGAGCAAGAACAGAGCAAAGTCGCAGAGGGGGGATCGATTCGAGCACGAGTAAGCCCCGATGGCAGCGACGACGGCGACGAACCGGCGGGTGATCCTCAAGGAGTACGTGGAGGGGTACCCTCGCGAGGAGCACATGGAGCTGCTCCGGGGCGCCGAGGTGCCTCTCCGCCTGACGGGGACCGAGCCGGCCGGGTCCGTCCTCGTCCGGAACCTCTACCTCTCCTGCGACCCCTACATGCGGCCCAAGATGTCGCGCCCACTGCGGGAGTCGTACACGGCCGCGTTCGTCCCGGGCGACGCCATCACGGGCTACGGCGTCGCGCGCGTGCTCGACTCCTCCGACCCGCGCCTCGCGCCCGGGGACCTCGTCTGGGGCATCACCGGCTGGGAGGACTACAGCGTCGTGACGCCGCCCGTCACCAAGTTCCTCGCCAAGATCTCCCACCACGGCGGCGGCGGCGTGCCGCTGTCCTACTACACCGGCATCCTCGGCATGCCGGGGCTCACGGCCTACGTGGGCTTCCACGAGATCTGCGCACCGAAGAAGGGCGAGACGGTGTTCGTATCCGCGGCCTCCGGCGCCGTCGGCCAGCTGGTGGGCCAGTTCGCGCGGCTCGCCGGCTGCCACGTCGTCGGCAGCGCCGGGTCGAAGGAGAAAGTCGAGCTCCTGAAGACCAAGTTCGGCTTCCACGACGCCTTCAACTACAAGGAGGAGCCCGACCTCGGCGCCGCGCTGAAGCGCTGCTTCCCGGACGGCATCGACATCTACTTCGAGAACGTCGGGGGCGCCATGCTCGACGCCGTCCTGCTTAACATGCGCGTGCACGGCCGGATCGCCGTCTGCGGCCTCATCTCGCAGTACAACCTGGCGGACGGGGAGAAGGACGCCGTGCGCAACCTCGGCGCCGTCATCGCCAAGCGCCTCCGCCTGCAGGGGTTCATCGAGCCCGACCACAAGCACCTGTACCCGCAGTACGAGGCGTGGGTGCTGCCCTACATCAGGGACGGCACGCTTGCCTACGTCGAGGACGTCGCCGAGGGGCTCGAGAGCGCTTCCAAGGCGCTCATCGGACTCTTCCACGGACGCAACGTCGGAAAGCAGCTCGTCCGTGTCGCCGACGACGAGTCGTCGGCTTGAAACCGGCGGCGGCTCAATTCATTTGGACCAGTCGATCGATGTGTCACTACTGCTCTGTTTCAGTTCCCCTTTTTTTTCATGAAATAATTAATTGTGGCAATCGATGCTTTTGTTTGGAAAAAATACGCGCTGCATTTGGACAATTTGGGGGAGATAATTGCAGGGAAAGATGGGGATTTGGCGGTGGGGGTTTGAACTTTGTCGATTGATTGATGAGCGGAGTACGCAGAGTCGGAGATTGCTGGCGCGTTTGGCGTGGTGCGGCTGGTAGAAAAGTTTCTTCCGATTTTAGATTCCATTCAAAAACGTTTGTAAAACCGTTAGTGCTCTCCAGTTGCACAGTTGTGCATGATGGAGTGTGATGACCATCGTTTTCAATTGATCGAAAATAGAGTGCTCCATAAGCTATTGTAGCCCATGGTAAACCTTGAGTCCTTGACAAAAGAAAAATCAAGCTCCTAATTCTGGGCAAAGTGGTTATCTTATGTGATGTATATTACAGTCAATGAATCCTTAGTGTTTCTAACTCATATGAGAAAAAAATCCAGAAATTTATGCTCAATCCCACTAAAAACTCCCGTTCATAAAAAAACTTTTTTTGTGTGAACGGTTGCCGGACATTAAAAATGGATGATCTAAGGCAATTGGATCCTACCAAAGGAGGTTTCATCGAGGCAGTGTGTTGTGTGAACAAAATTCTTATAGAATGGTTTGGTCAATATTGTTTTTTAGATGAATACCAATGTAAGAACAAACTTCATAGGAAAAAAAACCTTCTCTCTTACTGCCTTCGTTCTAAATTATAAGTTGTTCTTGCTATACATCTAAATATACACTACGTATCTAGAAAAGCAGGAACAACTTATAATTTAGAATGTAGGCAGTATATTAATATTTCCCTAACGTATCATCAAATTGGTGCCTAGTTTGAGCATATAGCAACCAAATTGGATAATTGGTAATGCTTCCAAACAATTTATGCTTTTTTTTTTGTTCTCGTTGGATTTTCTTTCTTTTAATTGTTTCTCTTTGGATTTTCAGTAACAATTCCGTTATATATGATTCCGACATCTGAATAGGCCGAGTGCCAAAAGGGCCTGGGAGTCAGCATCTAGAAATAGGAAATGAATTATACACCCGTTGATGCTCCGTGGCTCCCTCCGTCCCTAAATAACTGTCGCTATTGTAGAAAATATTAACAATATTTTTTATCTTCAAACAAGTTTATATGAAAATATATTCAATGTTCTAACTAACTGTACTAGTTATGTACTGTAAATATTAATATTTTCTTGCATATATTTAGTCAAAGTTAAAAGAGTTCAAGAAACGAGAACGATAATTATTTAGAAATAGAGAAACTTGACAACGATATCATGGCCTCATCCTTCTCTCTGTCCTTGAATGATGTACACAACGGCTCGATGCCCACAGGTTAGTTTTGATCAAAGATTAGGAATTATATATATAGAGAGAGAGAGAGAGAGAGAGAGATGGAGAGAGAGAGAGAGTTTTGATCAAAGACTTCCGGTCCACGTGCAAGTGGGATGGATCTTTCTTCGCAGAAGAGTGAGCCCGGGACGAGGGTTGCCAGTTGTGTGGGCTAAGAAATCGCCGTCCGAATACAATGAACCTTCGAGAAGCGGATCGAGGAAAAAAAATATAAAACAGAAATCGCCAAAAAAATAGCTAAACGTATGAGAACGTTGTGAAAGAAACGCAGAAAGGTACCCCTGATGAAGAAAGGGGAAGTAATAAAAGACGAAAACAGGAGCAAATGAAGCAGAAAATAAAATGATTTTTTTTAAAGAAAAGGGTTTTTAAGGACATCTCATCGTAAAAGAAAAATATATGGATCAAGTTTATTATATATAAAATTATTACAAACAGTTGAATAATTTGAATTCTGAAACGGCCATGAATTTGCTGACAAACAGTCATCTCCTCTCCTTTTTTTTGAACGTAGTCTCAGTCTCCATTTTTTCGGTTCCAAAAGAAGATACGAGCGGCATGGGGCCCACCGGCCTGTGCTGGGGATATTTGTGATTTGAGACAATTATATGTTGGATATCAAAGTGATGGTCCTTTGCTGACGGACATTCACTTTGGATCATTTTGCTAGAAAGATACTCTGATTCGGTGAAATTAGGCCACAAGACACCGCGAACCGGTTACAGCCGGTTGAGGAGAGAGAACAACGGTAAAATGACATTCTTGCCCCTGCCGCTTTCTTCTTCCTCTCTCCTTACTTTTTTTTGCATTTCTGTCCCCGCCACCCTCTCGCCTCCCCGCACTCGCCGTCGCTGGCGGCAGCGCCTCGGCGGCCCGCCGCGCGCGCCGCTTGACCTCGCGCCCCGGTGGGCAGCGCCATGTGTAGGAACAGGAACTCCGGTGGCGCAGACAGCGGCTGGCGGTGGCGGCGCCGCCGCCGCCACCACCTTCGTTTTCGCGGCCGGCACGACCTCCGACTCCATGAACAACTTGTCCACGACGCCAAGCCGAGAGCCTCGCGACGGCGCGCGCTTGAACTCATGGGCGGTGGGTGAAAGGCAACCCCACTCATGGCGTGGGCGTCCTTGCCGAGGCACGCCTTGAGGACGCCAATGACACCATGAGGATGACGGGGTTGGCGGCGATCGCCGTAAGCGCCATCAAGAAGTGAAGGCGCACGGGGTCTCTCTAGTCGAGGCGGCGAGGCGGAGGCCGAGGCGGACGGTGCAGCGGCGGAGCGCCCACGATGAGGTGGTCGACGACGACGGGAGTACCGCGGGGATCGCGACGTGGTCGCCGGAAAGTCGCTATACTCGCCCTCGGCGATTGTGAGCACGCGCTTCGGGAACCCGTCCATGCGCTTCGTCGGGGTGGTCGTCGTTCCAGCAGCGAAGCGCCGGCGGCTGCGCGGCGAAAATGCGTACACGGGCTCCCATCGATCCCCCGAATCCACGTGGTGCCCATCTCGGCGTGGTGGTAAGCGAACTTCGGACATGAGCACCCGCCGCAGCTCCGGATCACGGTGCACGCCGCAACGGGCGCGTTCTCGAGAAACCATCGCGGCTAGAACTTCGGTCTGGAGAGCCTCATGCACGGCGTGCCGCTCCTGGGCTGGCCCCTCGCCACGAACAGTTCTACAACGTCAAGATGCTGGCGGAGGAGTGGGGCGTGTGCGTGGAGGTGGCGCGCGGCAACCTGGAGAGCTCAAACGTGGAGAGGTCCAGGGTGGTCGAGGCGATGGAGAAGGTGATGGGGGACACGGCGGAGTCGGAAGTGCTGTGGCGGCGGGTGGCGGAGGCGCGACAGGTGCTGAGTAGGGCGTGGGCGGAGGATGGCGGGTTCCCATGAGAAATGGCAGTACGCGGAAACAGAAGTAGGGTCGTCACGGGCGGCGCTGCACGACTTCTTTAAATCCATGCATCTGCTGTGAAACAGAGCATGAGCATGGCAGTACGCGCACTGGACTGTCAATGCTAGCACAAGAATTGATCGATCGCCACATGTAAAAAAGAGAAATGGAGAGAGGAAGAAGAAAGCGGCAGGGGCAAGAATGTCATTTCATCGTTGTTCTTTTTCCTCAACCAACTATAACCGGTCCACGGTGTCATGTGGTATAATTTCACTAAACCAGAGTGTCTGACAAAATGCTTTAAAGTAGATGTTCGCCAGAGGACCCTCATTCTTGTCCCTTGTGATTTTGTGCTCGGCCGGTCGCTAGCCCAAAGGGCCATTTGACTTGACCCCATAACGAAACACTGCAGCCACTCGGCCCACTCCGCCACTCTACTCTTCAGCGATCCACCCCCTGTGCATGGGAGCCTACCACTACCAGCCTAGTAGCCCCCGAAGCCGCGTACCTTTACCGCACGCCGAGAAGGATGGCGTCGTGGTCGTCGCCCCCAGCCGCCGCCGCCGCCTCCTCCTCGGGCGCCCGATTCGGCCCCTTCCCGAGCCGAGCGCAGCGGCTCGTGCCGTATCCGTCGCTCGCCCGCGGAGCCCCCGCCTCGACGCTCGTCCTCAGGCCCCAGCCCCACCCGGACGGCCGTGGCCATGGCCTCCTCGCGCACACCGGATCCTCTCCCTCCTCGCGGTGCCGCGCCGTCGCCGCCGAGGTCGAGGGCCTCAACATCGCCGACAACGTCACCCAGGTCACACACACTCTTGGACGCGTGCCCTACCGTTGGTTCATGGTTCATTCCGTCGTTTCCCTAGCATAAATATTTGCTTCACTCAGGTAGCTGCTTAGGTGTTGGGATTACATATGTTAGGACTTCTAGTAAGAGCAGGCAGTGCAACTGCGAGGATCCTGCTTTCTCGCTGATGGCGCTGCTTCGATCAATAGATGCCATACACCTAGTAGCAATAAGGGGGTGCATCAACATTTTGTTCTGACGATTGACTGTCCAATCGCAGCTCATCGGCAAGACACCAATGGTGTATCTCAACAAGGTTGTCAAGGGCTCCGTCGCCAATGTTGCTGCTAAGCTCGAGATTATGGAGCCCTGTTGTAGCGTCAAGGACAGGTATCCTTTGTCTTCCTCTCCTTTTATTGGAAGGGAGATTGGCCTTTTGGTTATAGCTAAACACTTCCAAACCCGTTTGGTTTCAGGATAGGGTACAGTATGATAAACGATGCTGAACAGAAGGGCTTGATTACTCCTGGAAAGGTGATTTGTAAGCATAGGCACATTTGACATTTGGGCTTCATTCACATATTTCCTTGCTTATTAGTTATCCTGATATGAGTACAATTGTCAAAATAATTTATACTCATCACTGAAACAAGAGTATTGACCAAATGTGAGGGCACGTGCCCAATGTGGAATTGGTGCATAGAGGTAGCCACAGGTGCCTTAGTGATGTTTCTGACCAGTGTTGAAAATAAAATCATGACAAACAGCCTCTCATTCTGCCTTCCTTGTACCCTGGATGACTTGTTTCCCTGTCCCATGTTTCTGCTCAGAGTGTTTTGGTGGAAGCCACAAGTGGAAATACAGGCATTGGTCTTGCCTTTATTGCTGCTTCCAAAGGATATAAGTTGATATTAACAATGCCTTCATCAATGAGCATGGAGAGGAGAGTCTTACTCAGAGCTTTTGGTGCTGAACTTGTCCTTACTGATGCTGCAAAAGGGATGAAAGGGGCCGTAGATAAGGCTACAGAGATTTTAAATAAGACACCCAATTCTTACATGCTTCAACAGTTTGATAACCCTGCCAACCCTAAGGTAATGGAGAGAACCAGCCGTGTGGCTCTACCTATATGTGCACTCTGTTTCTAACCTACCTGCCCATTGTTTGTCTTCAATTGTTTTCAAACAGGTACATTATGAGACTACTGGTCCAGAGATCTGGGAGGATTCAAAGGGGAAGGTGGATATATTCATTGGTGGAATTGGAACAGGGGGGACAATATCTGGTGCTGGCCGTTTCCTAAAGGAGAAAAATCCTGGAATTAAGGTTTATTTACATTTCGCTCAACAAAATCTCCTCTGTTATATGTGCTTTCTAGTCCTTATCATTATATATGGTCACCTGTATTTAGGTTATTGGTATTGAGCCTTCTGAAAGCAACATACTCTCTGGCGGAAAACCTGGTATGTTTGTGAGTATTGCCTTTTGTACCTGTCAAACTTTTGGTTCTTTCCTTACAAGTTGTAACTGTTATCCACTTTTGTAGGTCCACATAAGATTCAGGGAATTGGGGCAGGATTTGTTCCAAGTAACTTGGATAGCGATATTCTTGATGAAGTAATTGAGGTATGAGCTTAAACTAGTGTCATATTTGTTGAGTTTGCTGAGTATAATCTGAGATTTTTAACACAAAAGAATGAAACAAAGTTAATTGTCTTGTCAAAATCAACTTATCTGTTTCTGTTATTGCACTATATCTGCATATGCCATAGAACAGTATTTACTGAAGTATATTCGCCTAAGCTGCATAACTACATTGGTATGGTTCTTTCCTTGGGGTAGGGTAACAATCCTATCATTTCACTCTGCCTTGTACAGAAGAGTTGTGTGGATTGTTACAGTTACAGGGTTATGTTTGTTCCTCTTTATTTCTACTATTTTATGACTTACTGTTTATGTTGCAGATATCAAGTGATGAAGCTGTTGAGACAGCAAAACAGCTGGCTGTTCAGGAAGGATTACTGGTATCATAATTTGAAATGTTGCTTCTCTTTGTATTGTGCCTAGGACATTGTTTTGACATATCATTGTTTTTTAAGACATCATCCCTGATTTGCAAGCATTCATATTTTTAGTGCTGGCATATCATGAGGCAAGACAAGCCTGCTAATGTCCACCTTTTCCCCCCTTGTGTTTCTATTTAAGTGCATGCACTCAGCTTCTCAAATATGTGGATAGAATCAATTTGTGGGCACCATTTTTTAGCCTTACCTTGTGTGTTTATTAAAAAAATAGTATTTTAGTGGCTAACTTGTTCGAGCCTAATCTTTTGTTCTTAAATACCTTAGTGTTCTCCTGTCAGTTTTCACTGTTATATTAAAAGTAAACACAAAGTAGAACAGTTGGAATTGGCTAGCAAGATCTGTGACAGTATATGAACTTAGGAACTAACAAAGCCATCTTCAAGTAATGTCGCGCTTGGTAGTTCTGTTTGGTGTACAGCCAAGAGCATCAATTTTTCTTTGGCAATGAAACTGAGAATTCGTGTGCCATATAAAGATGAATGGATATTGTGTAGGTTGGAATCTCCTCTGGAGCAGCTGCCGCCGCTGCCATAAAGGTTGCCAAAAGACCAGAAAATGCTGGAAAGTTGATAGTGGTAAGTGCAGAAATGCCATCTCTGCTATAACCCTTTTGTGAATACTGTTACATTACATGAAGTATGGATGTTGAGGGCACCTAGATTATTAATTTATATTCTCACATTGTTTTGGTTCAGGTTGTGTTTCCGAGCTTTGGCGAGAGGTACCTTTCAACTGTCCTCTATCAGTCCATAAGAGAAGAATGCGAGAACATGCAGCCTGAGCCATGAGGGAGCTGTCGCTTTAAACAGCATAATAAATGTTTCTGAAATAAGATGTGTGGCCAGCATCAGTGTGCTCCACTTGGTATCATTTGGCCATGCTCATGCTATCCTTTTGGCTCTATGACCGGAACTAAACAGGCGTGTGAGAAGTATCCATGACTCTCCCAACTGCTTTCCACACTTCTTAATTGTCTATACGATTCAAGTTGATTTGATTGGTAATTGTAAACAATTTGTCCTTGAATCTTTGAAGTCAAACAGAGTCAGTTAGCAGAATCAGCTGGATTTGTTATATACGTTTTTTTTTTGTGTGTGTGTGTGTTGCTATCACAGCATTACGCATCTCAAACAAGTGTCAAATGATGGAATAAGGATGATGTATCTCAGCGTTATGCATCAGAATGTTGGCATATGGCAAGCACGACAAAGCGTGACAGAAGGGAACAGCTAGTGTGCAATCGTGTGCATGTCCATTTGTGCGCAGTTTTTCCCCTTTGTGATAATGATTTCATGGAGGCTGAACTGCTGAAGTGTCGTTTCTTCTGTTGAATGATGTAACGTGAAATTTTTTTTCAGAATGTTATGGGTATGCCTTTATCCGGCTGAGATACACATGTGAAGTCTTTTATGTGAGCTTGGAAATATGTCCGATCCGCAGGGTGCTTGGATTTCTGTTGTTTTCCCATGTATATATTAATATATATGGATATAAATAGCCCATTGAATTTTGCTTTGCACATACATTCATGTTCATGGCATGGGTCAAAAGTCAAAATCCGAGTAGTATCTGACTATCGCTGGCTCACGAAGCGTTTTTGGTGGTCAATTTGATGTGTGTATGTAGTCATGTGCCCATGGCAAACTGTAGGAGAGAACAGACGGATTAACGCGCTAAGAACGTGCAGCTTGTTATTAACACATTAGCAACCAAAAATTTACCACATAAAGTCGGAATTGAGCGCGGCCGGCAGACAATTGCAAAACATATATGATTAGGCCAGTCTCAGGGAAGGTGTTATGGACATATATAGAGTGACACTCCAGCAAAAATAGTTAACTTGCAACAATATTAATAAAGAGGGAGAAGATAAGAGTTTCGTGGAGATGAAAACGAACCAACCATGTTCTCATAGAAAAGTAGATAAAATCCGCACTGAGCCACTTCGTTTGCCATGATCCAACGCAGCTTGTGGCTACTATTTGCACATTTCATGTTTATTTGTTGATGTGGAATTTCAAATATAAAAGATGACCATATATGATAAAAAATAATTTTTGGTCTTTATGACTATGTTCTAATATGCTAATACGTAGAATAACATAAAATGGTTATATAGTTTATATTTCATGTTTAATCACAACACATCAAAGGATTAAATGTGGCATTATTCTATGAAAACAGTAAAACTAAGGCCCCATTTGTTTCAGCTCTCAAGGGCTCCGGCATTATTCTATGAAAACAGCAAAGCACTGTAGCTAGCAAAAAACAATGCGGAAAGAAGAGGAGCCGCCAGAACCATGGTTTTGGGGCTCCACTACAGTGTGCTACAGTGCGGATCAGAGCGGGAGCCGACCGAAGCCCCTCCAGACATGCCCTAGAGTCATGTTTCATTTCTAATGCTCCCACCGGAAGACCTACTTTTTGCTACAACCTCTAGCCGCAAGTGTTTTGCTATTAGTGTGGTTGTTGATGTTTTGTAGCCATAGCTAATACGGCGGTGCTAGCGCCTGGACGCCCGTGGCTGCTCTTCGTTTCCTGCCCTACTCCGTGTTGTGCGCATTGGCTGCTCGGATTCCGCATTGCCCGGATGACTTGCCCCACCCATGCTGCCCCGTCCGCACGCGAGGCCGTTGGTGCCCCTCCGTTTCCCCGCCGAGTTTGAACTGATGCAGCGAGATGGAGGGAAGGGAAGGGAAGGGAAGGAGGAGGGGGAGGAGAGGAGAGGGTGAGGCGCGCCGCGCGAGAAAGGCACCAGGCAAGAGCCGAAGCCTAGCGGCAGGCCGCTGTTCACCAGGCATTGGCGTTCTTGCAACATGTGCAACATCTGGTCTACTTTTGAAACATTCAGATAAAATATTTGCAACATAGGTCTAAAGACAGATGAAACACTTAAAACATGCTTCTAAAACATTTGCAAAAACACCTGAAAACACTTGAAAAGCCATTGCAAACCATATGCAACATCCAGATAAAACACTTGCAACATATGTGTGAAGCATATGCAACATCCAAATAAATACACTTATAACATACGTCTGAAAAAACAGATGAAACATTTGGCACAAACTCTTGCAACATAGGTGTATAACCATTGCAACATATGCAAAATCCTGATCTACTTTTGCTACATCCATATGAAACATTTGCAACATACCTCTGAAACATCTGAAACTCTTGAAACAGACTCTAGCAACATAGGTGTATAGGCAATGCAACATATGCAACATCTCGATGTATTTTTGCAACATCCATATGCAACACTTGCAATATACCTCTGAAACATCTGAAATACTTGAAACATGTGTTTTCACCCTTCTTCTTCCGTACGACGCAAAGCAGAGCAAGGAACGGCCGGTTTCGGCCAGCCGACGCTCGAGGTTGGTGGCGTGGCCTGATAGCGGTCAGCTGTGCCTACGCCTCGCCTAGGCCCCTCTAGCGATGACACCTCTCCTGGTAATCTGGCCACACACAGGGGCTAGTGCGTGCGGTTGTTCTTTGGGTTGGCTTGACCGGGCCGATGGCGTCGTGAACGGCCGAGACGGCGGCGATGGCGGATGATGCAGCAAGCAAAGGCAAATGTGGTGGAGCACGGAGTGGGGAAGGTGGGCGACGCGGTGGAGGCGAAGCATGGTAGAGAGGTTTTTTTGGAAGGAGCGCGTACAGGAGCACGACGCGGCAGCGAGTACGGGAGTTGCATCCGTCCGTTCGGACGTCCTCACGAGAGCATTACCGTAGCTAATATTATTAGAGTAGCAATCTTAACTGATCAAAGTGTAAGGTCTGTGTCGACGAAATATGTCCGGCAGTCTACCGAGGGGTATGCCCACGGTAGTAGATGAATCGGTGGAGGTGCGCGTGAGGGAGCCGGATGGTGACACAGAACGCGAGAGACAGCGATTAGACAGGTTTGGGCCGTCAGCTTGATGTAATACCCTACGTCCTGTGTCTTTGTGGATTGTATTGCGTATGATCAGATGAAAACGAGGGGAGTCCCTACCCACCTTATATAGCTCGGGGGGTAGGGTTACAGATCGATTGTTTCTATCTTGATCGGTTTTATAAGATAGGAAGTTACAGATATTACGGGATCTGGCATATCCGAGCAGGTTTCCTAGATCATCGAAGATCTTCACGCAATCTTGCGAGGCACGCTGACCTATGTCGTGTAACATCCTTGGTGTTACGAGTTTGCTTAGCACCGAGATTTAGGTCCCAGAGGGATTAGCCTAAAAAGTTTTCGGGCTTTAAAAATTTATAACGCACGTTGTCGGTGCAAAAAGTGACCAACACGTAAATATTTATAGTTTTGTTGTACGTTGTGATCGGAGGTGGCCTAGCACTCAATAACACAGGGTTTATACTAGTTCAGGCAACATGCCCTACGTCCAGTTTGAGTCGGCCGGTGACTTTATTCCTGAGCCCAGGTGCTCGAAGTTTGCTGTGGGGTTACAAACAGAAGGGAGAAAGATGGGGGGAACAAGAGGTCCGGTCAGACTCCGGTCTGAGGGACCGAGTGTGACGGGAGCTCTGCTATACGCTAAGTGTTTGAGCATGTGCTCGAGGTTTGAACCTAGTGGTTCTGCTATTGTGTGCTAGTGAACTTGATCGATCTCTCTGTTGGGAGAGAGCGTATGCCCTTTTATAGATGAAGGGGATGGCCTTACAAGTGAGAGGGAGAGAGTACGTATGCTACTAAGTCTTGTTGCCTATGCCGGTGGGTACAAGATGATGGTAGGCGCCCACAATATTGTTCACTACTACAGAAATGAACTTGCGCAGCATTGCATAATTGGCCTCCGTGGCGGGCACTGTTTTTGCCCGCCACGGTAATTCGGTGGCCGGCCGGCCACTGAGACGCCCGCTGCGGTAAATGATTTACTGCAGCGGGCGACCTTATTTACCCGCTGCGGTAAATCCCCATTTACCGCAGCGGACATCTTAACGCGTTCGCCACTGTAAATCGATTTATCGTGGCGGGCACACTAAAAGGCCCGCCACGGAAAAAGGCAAGGCCCAAATGGCCCAGCGCTAGCCTGATAGTTGTCTTCATATATAAGCCAACACTTAGGGTTCCCTTTCACTCCTCTCACCCCCTCGCCCTCCCTCTCACTCTTCTCAGACGCGGCCGCACTCCCTTCCCACGCGCTGCATCCTAAGAGACGAGTCCCTCTCCCTCGACCCCCACCCCTACACTCCCCATCCTCTATCTCTCCCGGCGGCGATGGCGCTCTTCTCGGCTGTGGTGGCGCGGCTCGCGTGGGCGAAGGGCGGCGTAGTGGCGCTGCTCGCGCGGGCAAAGGGTGGTGCCGTGGCACGGCTCGCGCCGAGGGAGGGCGGCGCGGTGGCGTGGCTCGCGTGAAGGGAGGACGACGCGTTGAGGAGGCTCACGCGGGCGGAGGTTGTCGCGGTGGCCCGTCCTCCACTAGGCTACAGCGGCGCGACGTCCTCTCGATCCACCTCCAGCGATGGCCATGGCAGCGGATCTACCCCGGCGAGGGCGTATCCGGCCCCGGCGAGGGCGTATCTGGACCCGGTGGCTCCACGACGTCGATCCGGCCACCAGTGGCTCCACGGCGTCGATCCGGCCATCGGTGGCTCCACGGCGTGAATCCACATCTGGCGCCCCTCTCCCGGCGGCTGGTGGGCCTATCGACAGTGGATCCGGCGAGGTGGAGCTCAAGGCGAGCTCGCATCGGATCCTGGCGGTGCTAGGGTTTCGGACTATTGGGTTGGAAACGGGCTCGTCGGTGGGCTGAGAATGGGCTCGCTGGCGGGCTCCTGAGTT